CAGGTAAATATACAAAGTAAATGTATAAAGTAATGGTATAAGATAAATGTCCCAGGTAAACATACAAAGTAAATGTACAAAGTAATGGTACAACATAAATGCACATAGTAAATGTACAAGATAAATGTTCCAGGCAAATATACAAAGTAATCGTACAATATAAATGTGCAAGTTAAATATACAAGATGAATGTACAAGGTAAAGTTACAAGGTAAATATACAAAGTCAATGTATAAAGTGTAATGGTACAAGATAAATATAAATAGAAAATGTACAAGATAAATGTTCTAGGTAAATAATCAAATCAAATGTACAAAATAACTGTACAAGGTGTACGTACATAATAAATGTACAAAATATATGTACAAAGTATACGTAGAAGATATATGTACAAAATATATGTACGATGTAAATGTACGGAGTGTATTTGCAAAATGTACATACTAATTGTACATACAAAATGCGCATACAAAATGTGCATATAAAATGTGCGTACAAAATGTACATAGAAAATGTGCACACAAGTTCTACGTACTGTATGTACCATATTCAACTCATGACTATAGTTTTCAATCTAGATCATGAAAGGTGCATCGTGCGAAATCGAGCATATCGAAGCTCGCGTGTCCTCGTGTCGCGAAATCGTCAGTTCGCGACACTTATTGCCGGTGGATGCGGCATATAATTAACAGCGTCAATGTCACGTAACAATATCCAGGAACTATTAAATCGTCAGAGGGATTGGGGACTTCCTGCGTGTTGATCCACGTGACAGAGAATTTTTTGTGATCTGTGAACGTCGCTGTGAGACAAAAGAACGTTTTAGAAGACCGAGATTGATCGATCGCTGCGACCTAGAACCTGCGATTAATCATGGTAGCATGATTAGGAATACCTGGGGAACTTTCGCACCTGCTTCGATCGGACGTTCGATCGTTACCTTTCAATTTTCATACACGCGAGACAGATGTTTTAGCTTCGCGAACTTTGTGATTGAGTGGAACGTGTCCGATCAACCGTAACCTCGACTCCGTGTTATGACTTACACGGTGTAATTAGATTGCCGATTTTACGCGTTTATGGCAAAACTGGGCAGATTAAATAAAAAACACTGGAATCGTTCGTAGAATTTAGGACTACTGCATTTTCTCCAAATTTATTCAATACATTGAGAAAAGGAATATATGTGGAATGTATCTACCATAAAAATAAATAAAGCGTCTAATATGATGTAATATAATATAATATGCAATATAATATATTGTATACATATAATGTAATATAATATAATATACAATATAATATATTGTATACATATAATGTAATATAATATATACAATATAATATAATGTATACATATAATATAAATATAATACAATATATTGTATACATATAATATAATATAATACGCATATATAATAATAAGTAATAAATAAAATAAGTAAATAATAAGCATATGTATAAATAAAGATGTATGTATGTAATGATATGTATAAATCTGAACATATTTAGTTATACTTTTGTCAAAATGATCTAGATACAAAATGATTTTTAGATAAATGATTGTCATATAGGACCA